GTTGTGACATCGTGTTCGACATATGTTGTTTGCTGACGTGCCTCTTAGTTCAGTGAGTGAGTGAGCGAGCGAGGGAGAGAGAAAGAGACTGTATTCTAGGGGTAATAAAACAAAGTACGGTAACAAGTGGAGAGAGCCGCCAGGAAGTCGTTTAGGACAACAAATTGAGTTACTGACTTGAATTTATTAAATATAGTTTGTCAAATGTTGATTACATGTATGAGATCTTTCATCAAAAAGAGGGCAAATATGGTGTATTATTTTTTCATATTTGTTCACGTTAACTGCTGCTATATTTGTTGTAGATTATTTTTATGTTGTATATATTTATATACTGTATATTTTTTAGAAGTATTTATTTTAAAGTTGTTGAACTGAAGAGTGAGTACAGTTTGTGGTAAATGTTTCATAATTACTTGCGATGCAAAAAACCTTTTATTATTATTATTATTGGTGAATGCTGTCAGTTGAAACAAATTGCTATCAGAAATTCTCATGTATCTAAATGTAGGTTTCTGAAGAAAAGCAAGGTAGCTTTTGTGTAGCACATCTCATACTCAAGGTAACCTAATGTACTTTGAGTACTTTTATTTGGCTGTGGACTTATTACTAAAATGTAACATTACCAGATGATACTTGTATTAAATTAACCCAATATCTCCATAGCTCGGCATAAACTTTTGGACCTTTAAAACTGTAACAAGACATCTTTGCAAACTTTGCATAACCATGTCACCTGAGTTGCTGTGTTCTTTTTTAGCCTTAATTACAGTGACTATAATGTTTGTTAATGTGGGAAAGAAAAGTTTCCCACTCATATCTTATAACTGTTTAGTTAGCTTTCCTTTTTTAAAAAACTCTGCACACATGATTAGCAGCAGAGTGTAATGTGAGAACAAAACAATGATGTCACTTATTGTCCTCCAACACATCTATTATTATAACTGAGGTCCAGGGGCATTTGTTGGTGGGGCGCTCAGTCTGCTTGGCCTGTAGCTGCCCAAAAATGAAGGAAGAATCAGAATACAAAAATAGTCTGACATGAAAGAACAGAGGAAGGAAGGAAGGTAGAGGAAACAACTGAGCACTGGAGGAGAGTGATCGCCAGATAAAAAGGTTTAAAACTATTGAAGTGATCCACTGACTTAAAAAACCACTGACAGTAGGAAGTGTTGGAGAAGTAAGCCAAATATTGACTCTGTATAAGCCTGTTTAGCAGTCATAAGGCTGTTGGCTCTCAGCATTTTCAATACAGTTTGAATCTCGGTAAAGCTGTTTTCCAAATATATGAACTACACAGTCATATTAACGAACTACATGATAAAATCTATCCGAAGATGGCTAATGAAGATGGCAGAATTCTAAATAAAATTCTATAATTAAACAAAGGCGTAAGGCTTATAAATACCCTGTGCTTTAGTTTTGATGCTGTTTCTAAAACGGTTGCTTATGGAAATATGTCCGTGAAGATTCAAGTCCAGGTTATTGTAAAGGTCTTTGTCTTGGATTGCTGTCAAATTCCCAAATTAAACGAAACTCCCAACTCCACTCTACTCTTAGGTAATGTTTATTTCAAACTCATTGCTAGTTTTTTTTTTTTTTTTTATCTCATGAGTGTTGCCTAAAACGGTTGGCGTGATTACCAGATCAGCATTGAGATAATTCTATTTCAAGAATAGCTGTATATGAAAGCTGTAATATACTTGCATTACTCACCAGAAATATAAACGTAATATGCATTACTTACTTGCATTACTCACCAGAAATATAAACTTTAATTGACATTAACAAATCTGATCTCAGGAACAGGGAGTTCTACCACCTTCAGTTAGACCTTGGGGTACAAAATGTTTTAAGGGCACTGTTTGACCTGGGAGCTCTATTTTGGACACCATTACTCTTGTGAGCTCATTGCACGGGTGTGACCTGGGAAGATGGATCACACAGGACAGTGTGTGGACAACCCAGCTGATCCTGCACAGTCGTCTTGGGCCTCATTTTCTAAATAGTTTGCACATATGGCGTATTGTCTACCTCCCTTCTCACATAGGCTCCAAAAATAAAAAATGATTTGCTTCTTTGTCACTAGGCCACATTTACCCTCTTCTGAGTTTGAAGTAATTACCTTTTTTAACCCTGTCTTTGCTTTAACTTTATCTTGCCTATAACACTATGCAGTGTCAGGGCCGCTGTAAGGATTTGTTGTCAGATTTAGCTAGTGGAGGAAGGCTGACATTAGATCATACCTTTAGGAACATACCACATTATGAAGTAATCGTGGATGTCCCTGTTTCCCATGATCTACGATTTCCTATCAGTTGGAGGAAGATGTTGATATAAATGTGGTCTTTGGGGAAATTGGTCTAACAGTGAGCTGCTTATTTTTCAAGGCAACAAGGGATCATTCAGTGGATAAAATGATGAGTCTGTGTCACAGCCAAATAACAGATATAATTGGGAATTGTTTTGTTCTGCTCAAACAGGGAAGACCCTTTTTCAACATCTTTCTCATTGGTTTTAAATGTGAGGTTAAATTATGCCTCATGTGACCATGTACTCCCACCACTGTTGAGTGTTCGTTTGTGTGTCATTGCAGTGCTACTTGTGCTATAGCTTGTGCGTGTGTTTGCGTCTCGTCACCCTGGAGCCAGGCGTCCTCTCCTCTGACCCTGATCCCTGTCACCTGTCTGCTCAGATCACACACGCATACACACCAGAAACGCACACTCTCTCTCACTCCCTGTCTCTCTAACACACACACACACCCATGGACACACTCACCCATGGACACACTCACAATTGCTGTGACCCTTTCCTGGAGCTGAAACCCAATCGCAGTCATCAGCCACGCAAAACTTGCCAGCACAGCAAGGTTTTGTTTTCTTTTTGTGGGTGTGCATATAACTCGAAAGACCTACTGTCTGCTGTAAGATGAACTGAGGCAGAGAGAATGTTAAAAATACATTTTTACATGAGTGGCCTTAGCTGAAGTCGAGCACAGCAGTGCACTTCTGATGTACATTTACTACAAAATACAAGTTAACTCGTTCAAATACAGAGAGAAAGTGTAAACTCTTATTTAAGGACACATCATTTTGTCAAAATTACAGTTTTTGTCAACATTGGTGCTTAACACTCTAGTATTACATACATGCATACTGTACATTCGTGGCCTGACCATGTGACAAGTTTACTAGACTTTGTAACTATAAATAGAATTGTGTCAACGATAA